AGGGACAACATAATTTAGTTTGAAAAAAGCTTATTTTTTAGGACAAAATTTGGTCCAAAAAATAATAATTCATCACTTATATCCAATTTCGTTGTTAAAAATATAATGACGACACTTTTCGCAACAAAAATATTTAATCCCTAAAAATAATTATTCCTATATTTTGATTTCTAAACCTTTAATTTTTTTTGTAGTGTATCATAAAAATGAGTACAATTAAAAATGTTGAATATCTTTTAGGTTTTCTTAACATACACTTTAAGGGTTGACGTTAACAAGACCCTTCAATCTTTATATAATAAAGTTAGATGTTGCTCTAAATTAATAGATATCGATCTAAATCATATGGTGCATCATTTTTGTATTGGAGTTCTAAAAGATAATGTGTTAAGTGTCAACCTTTAAATAGGATAGAGTATCACTAGGAAAGTATTGAATAATTTCTTCCTATTTGTTGGAAAAACAAAAGCAAAAAAAAAAAAAAAAAAAAACTTGAGACGCTTGAATTTTTAGATAATAATGTGGACTATTCTATGTTAGTTATCAATTAGTTTAGAAATCAGTCAACCCCTGCCACATTAATTTATAAGTCATGGTTTAAAAAAATTCAACATTTCTAATAAAATTGCACAATAAATGTTTGGATCACCAAAATTTGCAGAGAAATGCTTCGCTATGCAATGTACACCGTATGTAACTTTATATAAAATTATGTAAGTTTTCACGAATTTACATAAGTAATTATACAAAAATCCATAAAAATTTGCATAAGTTCATAAAAATTTATATAATTACACTAATTTATGTTGAACTTACTCATTTTTGCGAGACCACTTATGTAAGTTCATAAAAACTTATATAATTTTTTGTAGGGTAGTATATAGTATGCAATGCACACCAAACATTTTTCCTTTTACCATTCATATGAATTTTCACCACAAAAATTATAAATTTTTTTAAGATGATGCTATCTAAGTTTAAAAATTAGATTCACTTTTCAAATCTAATAATATGATAATCTATTAAAATATCTAAGGCAACTCTTGTTCTAATAAATTCTCTAATTATTAACTAATTATCTCATTTACATTATTAGGTCTAGAAAGTAAACTTATGTATCAATTTTTTTTTTTTTTTTTTTTTTATGCACCTCTTTTTAAGGATGCAAATTATTTCCCTATGCTTGGAACTCATTCAAGCAGTCATGGCCTTGCACTTGTGTTATGTTGCAGTTTTAGATTCTGTCACGTTCAATGAAACAGAAACACTAATGAGAGGGAACACCATTCATTGACAACCACACATATAATTGCTGTAAAAGCTTCCTATGTTGGTCATTTGTGCTTTTGTGTCTAGTTTTAAAAAACTTATGATATGAAAAAAGAGAAAATTAAAAAATAAAAAGAAAAAGAAAGAAAGAGAAAGTCACCATGTGTTATACAAAAGAGAGGTTAATTATTTGATTTAAGTGCAGTTGCATTGCATGCTTTTTCTTACATAACATATTCATTCACAGAACCAAACACATATGTCACAACAAACAACAATCAAAACTCAAAGCTTGATGACGACCGCACACAAATACCGTAAAAATCCACACAATTCCAACAAACGACACACAGCATGCCTAACAAGACGAGGGGAAAAAATAAATAAAACAAAAAATAAAACAGAGAAGCATTACATGAAAACAGAAAGGAAACAAACTAGGCAGAGAATAAGAAGACTCTCCACCATTACTACTACAACTTAAAACTTAATAATGTTGAACTATAACAGTGTACTCGACAATGGCATTACCCAAGGCAGCATTGAGAAAATAGGTGTTTAACAGAGCAACACCACGGGCCAGCCTGAAAACACCAGTCCCTCCGATCACCGGCAATTCGCGTTTCGTCTGAGTTACTGGGTTGGAGCCCAAAACAGTGAGAGTGCTTCTATTGTAGGTTCCATCGGTGAAAACTATATCAATGGCCATAATCAGACGCATGTCCTAAACTTTAGGAAAAAATCACTTTAGAGGATCCTTGCTCGAAGAAAGTGGGGGATGTGAGGCTGGTGTTGGATTGAGCCACTATGGTTGTGGTTATGTCCCTCAAATCTTGGAAGTAGAAGTGAAGTTTGGTCACTTTTTGGTCTGCTTTTGTGGTGAAGTCGTGGAACCATTGCTCCACTTCTTTGGGATCCTCGGCAATGCTACAAAACACTGGCATAGCAATTGCCATTGAGCAAAGTACTACGATTGTGCCTAGCTTCCTCATCATTCTGAATCTATGTGTGTGTCTGGTAATTTAGTTGGACAAAATGAGGGTAGACTATGCGGACCTTTTTATAGACGGGCTAAAAAGGTGGTGGTGGTGGATGTACAACACGAATGCCGGACAACAAGATTAATGATATAAAAAAAATAAAAAGTAAAAGAAAATGTATAAAGTAATATTTTTCGTTTTGAGTCTTTAAAATATTCTCAAAACACATTTTTATTTATAAAAAAAAGTTACAATGATGTAAATCTGGTGAATTACTTTGTACAAACTTTTAGGAGAATAACTTCAAAAATATTACAAATACAAACTTACCTATTCATAAATTATTTAGAATTATCATATTGTGATTTAGATTTATTCTATACATAAATGTCACACTACATAAATTTAATCTCAACCACCTACCTTCATGTGGGATAAATTCAGTATAGTTAAAGTGGAGTTCATAGAATTATTCAAATAATTTTTTCCTTGAAAAAATTATTCCAAAATTCATCTAAAATTTGCATGCATATATAGTTTAGATTTTAACTTAACGTGTAATGTGAGTTATACCTGAATCAAATCCAATTCATACATTTTAAATTGGAAAATGCCTCCAATATTTTTTATAAAAAAGAAGAAAAAGAAAATGCTAGTACATATAATTAGGGGTGTGTGCGGTGTGGGTCGGTGCGGTTTGAAAGAAAAATAGAAATCGTGTGGCGGGAGGCGAATTGATCAAAGTGTCACTAGAATTTGTCATTTTCCTTATCAAAAACCGGCGGTTCGGTTGGCAAATAATGGCGGATTTGTCTTGGCGGTTCGGACGGATTGGCGGTTTATAAAAAATATAATTCAAATTACAAAACTTAAATCAAAGAGTAAAACAAAGACGAGAGATACCGTGATATTAAGCATCTTACGAAGCTTTCTTCTGATGCAGCAAGTGTAGCAACAACATGATAATATCAACGACTATGCCATAAGTTCATTACAAACATCTGTGGAAGCTACAATGATCAAATACAATACATAAAATTAATATCATTCAGGGTTTACAATATATTAAAAATGTTTATTGTTGAAAAGTATTTAGATTGAAAAGTGAGTTGATGCAAGTTTGCAACATAGCCAGGGAAAAAAAAAAAGGATTGAAAAGTGAATTGGAATCTAACTTTATTTTAGATTACTGACATCTTGAATTTTCCTCGAGCAGTAATGTAATACTATATTCTAAGGTATAGAACAACAAGCAAGCTTAAGTAAAAAAGAATTTTTAGAATCTTATAAAACATGATTTAATAGCGGTGCGGGTCGGTGCGGTTTGGAAGAAAAATAGAAACCGGCGGATTGATAAAAGTGTCACTGGAATTTGCCATTTTTCTTACCAAAAATCGGCGATTCGATTGGCAAATAATAACGAATTTACCTTAACGGTACGGCTCGGTGCGATTTTGACGGTATTATGCACACCCCTACATATAATCTTATTTTTATTTAATTTTCACATTCTTCGAGACAAGTGAATACGTCAATTGTGTTTTTATTGGTGTGAGCTCCATTAGTTTGTGCCTTAGGCCTCGTTTGGAACGTGTTATTTTAATAATTTTTTAACTTTTTATAAAAAGTTATATAAAAAAATAAAATGAGTGATATGATAATTTATAACGATTTTTGAACTAAAATATATAATTGACAAACGAGACCTTGAAGTGAGAAAATGAAATTACGTATAGGATTAGGTTTCTCTTATATTCATATATCAACATGAGAGAATTTGAGAGAGCCATGGAGCCCACAACAGATTTTGATTTGAAGATCTAAGCCATTTATTTTTTAAAACTCATTGAGTAAAATATTAATGCAAAAAATCAAGATGATCAGATATCGATAACTATATGTTTTGATCAAATTTATATCACAAAAAATGAATGATTATTATTCAAATTATATTTGTTGTCTATTTTTAAAAACAAATATGATTCAAGCATATAGCTACCGATATTTAATCATCTTATTTTTTACATAAATATTCTACTTAACAAGTCAAAAAAAGTCAACGGTTCGAATCACTGAAATCAGTTCTAAAATGGGCTACCAAGTTGCTTCTTTAGTTATCATATTGAGCATTGCTACTCTAATTCAAAAGTTAGATTCAATTTTTAAATTCAATAATAGGACAATCAATTAAAATATTTAAGGTAACTCATTCTCTCTCATATCTTCTTTAATCATTAACTAATCATCTATCTTACATACCACCAAATTTAAAAGGTGAATTTATATATTATTTTTCTGTTAGGAAATTTTTTTCCTCTAACACAAAATGTAAGAATTCCTACAATCCAAGTAATGTGGTAAAACCTGATAAACAAAGAGAATTCTATCTTTAGGACAAAATTTTCCATGTTCCAAAATTTTCATTTAAAAAAAATCTAAATAAATTAAAAAAAAAATGGATAAAGAAAAGAATAAAATTTCACTAAACTAACCAACCCATCAATGTTATGGCTTTCCAACATATTCAAAAAAGTTATGGCTTTCCAACATTTTTTTTTTAATCGACAAAGAAAAATTTCATTAATTAACATAAAATTAAAGGTGCAGAAAGATGAATTGCACTGAGAGAGATTCGTAAAGTACGAAATACCCCTACTACTGCTACTCGCAACCATACAACTAGCCCCTTGGCTTCACGATTTTTTTCAAAACAGAAAAAAGTTAAGAAAGACTTAACAAAAAATAAAATACATGATTCCCCACAAACTCAACCCCAAAACACCTAAACTGCTGCACACACCCATGCCTATGGTGCTGCACTCCCAAGGCCAACCACCCACCTGCACACAACTTATTCATCACGCCAAGACCCACGCTGCTACACCTGATTTGCTACACTCCCAAGGCTACATATGCTGCTGCACTCCCAAGGCCACCACCGGAAAAACTCCATAGCCAACAGCTCCATGGGCCACACCACCGGAAACTCCATAGCTCCAACAGCTCCATAGCTCCACCGGAAACTCCACAACTTAATCACCACGCCAGCAGCTCCAAGACCCACGCCTATGCTGCTCACTCCCAAGGCCAACCACCCACCTGAACACCGAACAACTCCAACGCCTATGCTGTTGCAAATCACAAAAATAAATAAATAAATAAATAATAATATTTATATTGGAAGTTGCAGATCTATTATTTAATTTAATTCAAACTTAATGTTAATTAGAGACAACAACATAATGACCTGCAGATACAAAATAACAAACGCGGTCTCCACCGACACTAAGTTTTTAAGGTTTAAACGAAGGTGGCTTCCTAACGTTAGAAGCCTGTTCGAACCCATAAGCAATTTCAATGAGATTAGGCTCAGAACCTCTCAATCCTCCGAAACAAATCCCATAAGGTGTTCCACCTTCATCGTAGCCTGCCGGAACAATTATTCCAGGATATCCTCCAATTGCGAGCACTGGAGAACCATCTGACAATGGTGTCACCAATGCATCCAATTTGTATTTTCTCATCAACCTCTCAAACCCATATTTGGATGCTCTTGTTAAATTCAGCAATGCTTTCTTCTCTAATTCTCCTATTCCATTTTTTTTTTTTCAGATTCCAAGAAGTCTTCTTGACCATACTCGCCAATTTTTTCCTGTAGAGCCATGAAATTTGTTCAAAATAAAATTGCTTTAATCTCTATTAAATTTAACCCAACCAGCTTCGATTTGTTTAATAAATGAGCGGATTTGTATTGAGTTCTGTGGATAAATAACACATTTTGATTTGATCATGCTCGCCTGTTTTCCACCTCTACTTCTAATTAAGATCACCAACTACCTATTTTATAAGATCAACAACACCTCTTATATTGTGTTTGGTTAGAGGATTTAACGAAATATTTGGATAAAGAAATGAAAAAAGTATATGAAATATGAATAAAATATACCTACATTTCACTTAATTTCACACATATTTTCCCTTTCCCTTTTCAAATCACCCCTCAAATCTTTTAACCAAACATAGCGTTAATTGTACCACTATAAATCAAGTTGTATTATCACTTTGGGTTAGGCTTGTCTCCATATGAACTATGGGCATATGTGTCCATCACAATCCTACCTTACCTTGATAGTCTAATCAGTTTATCTTATAAATATCTATGGATAAATTATTAATGAAAAAATAAACAAACAATAAATGTCATTTTAAAAATAAATTGTTTATTCTTTTTCAAGACAACTATGATGAAACATGTAATTATAATTATTAAATTAATCTGATTTTATTTATTTATTTATTTATTTTGTAAACAACTTAAAAATAAGGGTTTAGAAAATAAACTGATTGAATCATCAAAATAGGTCTATAATTGGCCCATAGATCTAAATTGAATGATCTAAGAAGACTGGTGAAATGTCCTACCCAATCTCTTTATTATGTAAAATTATGCCAAAGAGAAAATATATACGGAGAGATGTAGCCATAACCATGTGTGTGTAAAGCAGTTGAACAAATCATGACAGTTTTGGAGTGTATACTGTATATATATAATACTGTGAGTGATAATGTAGCATATATTGACCTAATCAATCAACACTTTCATAACACAAAGGACATGGTACTTACCAAATTTGAGAATTTGTTGTTGAATGCTATTATATCTGCCAATGATCTCACTGGGGAAGTGATTAGCCCTTTGAGATAAGCATTTAGAGACAACTTCAGCTCAGCCGTCATCGCTATCTACTCACCAATGAACATGGAATCTTTGATGGTTTCGTAGTTTGGTATTTTAATATGATCAACCAAAATTGCACCTCCTTGCCTTAAATGTTGCAAAAGATTTCAGAATATAATGTCAGGATTAAAGTTTACATAACAAATATAAAGAGTGATAGTGTAATGTTTACATTACCTTAATGTCTGCAAAGGCTGCTTAAAAAGTTGAGAAATGCCTGAATTTTTAGGGAAACCAAAATAGAGATAATCTGATATCCCTAATCTCTTGCCCCTAAGCCCATCAGGCTTGAAAATTTTCGCATATCCACCATTTGGAATGTATTTTGAAGCTTCCCTTGTTGCTACTGCATCATAGCGATCATAACCCACAATGGCATCCAGGACATAAGCAGGATCTGATACCGTTGTACAGATTGGCCTACAATAGTAAGAAATGATCAAGTTTTATGTGGAGATAAAAAGGTTAATCAATGCTGTTAGATTTAGTACAGATATCCAACTCAAAATTAATTGGGGCAGGTTGCATAAGAGACGAAAGAGCTAGATGGGAGTTAAGATCACCCATGTGACAGGGGAGACGAGGGATGAAAGAAATGGACTCTGGTGGAGGCTTCGTCTACTAGACATCATCCAAAACCTAACAATGATACTATGTTCAAATTATTAGCGACATCTAACTTAAAATCAATTGACAATGGATAGAGAGATCTCTTGATTAGATAAAACCAGTGTCGATCTTAGGCATAGGCGAGCAAAGCCATCGCGTAGGGATCTCTTAATCTCATGTTTTAACTAATGCAATAAATTGTGACATACCCAACACTGTCTTGCCTAGGGGTCAGTGGGATGACACCTCCTCGACTAATGAGGCCTACTGTGGGTTTGATCCCAACCGCAGAATTGAAGCTGGAGGTGTTGGAAAATTTGGTTCATTAGGCTTATTTTGGGCCGACTTTGAGCCCAAAATTGAGTGGGTCCCAAACGTCTTTTGCGGTGGGTACGAAGAGGTGAAGTGTTCCTTGCCGTGTAGCAAGTCACACGGTGAAGACGGTTCGTCAAAACCATTTATGAGTGAATAGGAACATGACGTCATTTTTGGGTTCGTGGAATGGACATTTAAAGTTTTTAATGTGGGTTTCCTTGTGAGGCTTGTCCCACATTGAAACTTTAAGAGAGTTTTGTTAAATATATAAGCTATAGCCTACAACACTTGCGTTGGGTCCAAAGGGGCACCCTCAGTTTCGGTGGGTACGAAGAGGTGAAGTGTTCCTTGCCGTGTAGCAAGTCACACGGTGAAGACGGTTCGTCAAAACCATTTATGAGTGAATAGGAACATGACGTCATTTTTGGGTTCGTGGAATGGACATTTAAAGTTTTTAATGTGGGTTTCCTTGTGAGGCTTGTTCCACATTGAAACTTTAAGAGAGTTTTGTTAAATATATAAGCTATAGCCTACAACACTTGGGTTGGGTCCAAAGGGGCACCCTCAGTTTGTAGAAGGGAGGAGTTATGGACAAAGTGAACCTTAGCCCAAACCACCACACGCGTGCCGCCGCCGTCCGAGCCGTGCCGTGCCGGGCGCAGGTGTTATTGCGGGAATTTAATTTAAATTTTTGTCCAAACAAACTTTTTCCTGTCTAAATATTCCACAACAGATTGTACAGTTTTTCTAACTGTTTAAAAACCGGACAGATTCTTAACTGTCTAGACAGATTCAAATCTAGATAGTTTTGTTCCAAATCTGTTTGAATTTTGAATGATATCTGTTCATTTCAAAAGTGCACCTGTTCAAGTTAAATTCATACATGTTCGGACAGTAGTGTTTGCCTATAAATACCTTTCAATTCCAGCAGCCTCTGAGATCCGAAAATTAGTCTGCAAAATTCATTTTGCTATCCTATTTGCTCATTTGCATTATATATTCTTCATTCTAGTTTTAGAATAAAATAGAGAGAGTATAGAACACAAGGTTTCGTTCGCCAGACAAATTTGTTTGAAGTGCTTCTATAAGTTTGTGAAGATCATTGTATCCTGGGAGATAAATGTCACTCAACCGTAAGCACCATAGCGGGGCGAATCTGTCTTAAGGATAGAGTGTCACATACTCGACTTGGTCTTTAATTATTTATTCGGTTCAACAAAATAAATTCTGTAAGTTTTATTTTATTTTGTTTCAATTAGTTTCAATTTATTTTATTTACACAGAAGATTGTTCCAACAATCTTAAGACATATTCGAATTATTCTGTTTATAGAATTTTTCGTTTGTTTCCTTTTTTTCGTTTTTCTTTTAAGAAAATTATTTTCTGTAGATTTACAAAATAATATTGTGGTTGGAAAAACAAATAGTGATTATATGCTATTTGACAGATAGTAGTAATATATTGTCTATTTTCTTTGACAACTAGTAGTAATATACTGGTGTCATTAACAATTCAGAATATATTTTTGTGGAATTTTTTCAAAAATTAATTTTGGTTTTTAGAAATTATTTTCTGAGTTTTCGTTAATTAAAATTCTGTTTCTTTTTTTTTTAATTATTGAAGTGTTACAGAAATTTAATTTTCTGTGTGGAATTAATTTGGTTAAATAAAATTTTATTTTATTTCCAAATTAATTGAAAAATAAAAGTTACATTCTTGTTTCTTTTATTTTTACAGAATTTAATTATGTGAATTTGGATTAATTTTCTGTGTAGTATAAATTCTAATTATAATTTTGTTTTATAATTTAGAATTAATGGCTACTGAAACAAATGCTCAAACAAGTACTACTATGACGGCTGCAATGATGCCAACCCCCTCTCCTGTTGTGACAGTACCGGTAAATCACGATGAAAAGCCAGAGAAATTCTCAGGAACTGATTTTAAAAGATGGCAACAGAAAATGTTGTTCTATCTTACAACTCTGAACCTAGCTCGTTTCCTCTGTAAGGATGCTCCTCTTTTGAAAAAGGATGAAACCGATCGACAAATGGTTGCTGCGGTTGATGCTTGGAAACATGCCGATTTCTTTTGCCGGA